AACATGACTCATCCTTCCTTGTTTTACAGGGATGAGGTGCATGCATTTCACTGTTCAGCCATGTTGGTGTAGTCTCCTTTCCTTTTGATATGTACCGGTATCTTCTGGGCTGACTGGCTGATGTTGTAAAGCCGTCTCCCACTAGGCGTCATCCTTTGACCTTAAAAAATGAAGGAGTTGGGGGTCTGTTCTGCCCTTTTCTACACTGACTCCAGCTTGAACCAGCATTGTGTCTGACTCTCTCTGGCGCAAAAGAAGTACTTCACCCCTTATACAGTAAGAACTGAATGCAGCGTGCTTTTAACAGCAACGGGATTGTTTGTGCTGGGCGCATTTCAATACCGAACATGTACCTTTTAGTGCACCGGAGATTCCTGCGCAAAGTCCAACCAAAATATCCATGACAGCTTGCTTATGGTCCAATTCCGTTGGTTACATGAGCAAAGTGGCATCGCAAAGTGTTTTGATGCAATTTTCTGAGGAAGTGCAACTGAAGTTCTCTGTCCCAGACAATATCCCTGCCAGTCATTAGCCTGGTGGACAGAGTCTCCTAATTTTTATGGCCCAGGGCGGAGTCTCGCAGACGTGGATTGGAGATTGCATGGTCAGCAGCACAGCTCCTGTTTGATCCGTCTTTGCACCCAGAGAATAAGGTGACACAGAGAAAGAGTTATCGGGCATACATTTTACTTGAAGTTTTATGTCAACTTTCCTTAGTTTTTTAAATATAGGAGTTTTTTTTTATTTTACGGTTTTACACTATGGGCTGTTTTTATATTTTATAGGGTATGGTTGTGATGACATGCTGACGTCATTTTCTGTGCAGTCTGTGGAGAGACGGCCTTTGAATAAGATCGATTGGAGATCCTATAAAGCGATTTTAGACCTGCTTGGGTCTACTTATAAGGTGAGCGGCCCACTGAGAGTGGTGAGCACCTCGGTCATAATTGGAGTTGGTGTATGGACTTTGTATAAAGAACTTTCACTGTGGAAGGATAAAGAGTGTGGTGCACTTGAGCACTTTATACGTGTGATTCCACATTTGTACACATTTGAACACTGAATATATGACTGAACATTCCAGAGGGATATTATTTAGGATTGATATTTACAAGAGGAGCAATTGTGAACACTTTGATTGCATGTATTGTTTAGTACATATTTATTATAGAGATTTGATTATTTATTGTTCTAGTTGAAGCGCAGCACATTAATTATTATAATTTGATACCTTTAGAGGGTAACACTTCTTATAGTGCTTGCAGCTACTGAGGGTTTGGCGCAAGGTGCAATTTGTCACCAATATTATCATCATCCAATAACAACCAACATTTATTTAGATCCAATAAAAAATAGTTGACACAGAGCTCCAGTAAAGCCTATCTGAAGCTTAAAACTTAAATTGTATATATTGCAGGTTACTACCAATTAGATGAGGTGACTGCATTCGTTTTACCGTTATTTGCAACTGGTAATCCTTCAACTAACACTTCCTGTTCCCGGATGGCGACGCTCAATCCTCCACTATTTCTATGAAGGCAGTCATGATAGCCAACCAGATTTAATTTCAAACATCTTTACCTTAGTTTAACTTCATTACATAGGGGTTTATGGAATTAGTAATTTACAGAAGACAGAGGATTGTTTTTTTTAAAATCTGGTTAGCTTATATGAATTGTAGGGCTGCACCGATACTGGTTTTTGGGTTTATACTGATACTTCCGCTAGCATGGAGTCGGCTTCCTGATTTCCCAGGAAGCCGGCTTCACAGTCAATCTGCATCAAGCTGTCTGTTTGGCCGGCTGCATGTTGATTGGCCAGGAAGCCGCCCCCAAGTTCCAGTATCGGGGAAGGTATTGCCCAAATACTCGGTATCTGTGCATCACTAATGAATTGACAAAGTTACTGCATTTCTGACAAGCTCAAAAGGTATTTTCTTTAATTCCTGATGATCTTCTTAGGCTGAAAAAAAGAAAACTTTATTAAACTAAGTTTTATCTTTACATAAAACTTCCAGCAAACAATAGTTGAAATTGTAAATCATGTTAGAAATGGGAATGGTGTTCCTCTTTACTTTGGATACTAAAACATATGGGTTAATAACGATTTTGGATGAAAATGAGATCCTCGTTGCAGCCTCATGAGCTCAGATATTACGGTATTATATTTCATATTATGAAACATCCACTGATCATTCTCATTTGTTCTAAAGAAAACAGGTCACATCCACTGGGCAAAATTTTAATAATTTGTAATGTTTTCAGTGATGGAATGTATAACAGTCAATAAAACACAAGTATAAGAACTGTACAATAAAAGCTTTCCACTTTGTTTAATCTCTTAACTATATTCTGACTTAAAATACAATATAAAATAAAGAAAAAAATATATACATTTCTATGAAACGTTGACATAGAGACATACAGTCATGCAGGAAAAGACCTTCAGTGACTGAAAGCAAAATAGACATGAACTGTTTTATAAAAGATGCATAGCAAAATAGCCAAATACGGGTCCACACAAATAAAATGACGCGTAAAAAGGGTCACAATTCATAAACACTCACTTTTGAGTGTTATGTATTACTCTTTTCCATAGAGTAGTTAAGATACTTTAGAGCTGATTCATAAAAACTGGAAAAAAAAACCCCCAAAAAGGAAACAGTGGATTTCCTGTCCATACCAACCATTTGAAATGTTTGCTTAATTTCTACAAAATATAAAGATAAAACCTTATAGCATTAGCAACATTTCTTTTTATGAATCACTCCCTTTGATCTTTTATTAGGTAGGCAACATTAATGGATTGTCAATAAATAACTTAGATGCATAGTTGCTCTATGTCTGTATCTGGCCAAAAAGACCTCTTCAGATGGCTGTGTCACATCTAACTTACATCTGGGGCCTGTAGCCACAAACAAAAAATGTTTAAAGTGTCACTTGACACTTCAATTAGAATTATTATTACATAGGTTATCATGAAGCACTGCACAAGGCAACAGAAGAAAAACAGAGAAAATACCTGATTTAGATTGACAACCTGGGGTAGATATACTAAATGTATTAAAAAAAGCTGGCCTCTCCTTTTGAAAATACTAGTTGATCGGCTGACATGCCAGCATAATTCTACATACTCTGCATACATTACTGACCCAGTATGCAAAGCATTAAGGTCATCATCATATGCATAATTGTTTTGGGCTAGTGACTCAAAGTACTGAAGGAAAGGGGTAGAATGACAGCCATGCAACCAGTATTCTCAGAAGGAGAAGTCAACAATTGCTCCTTCTATTTTTCTCTTGACAGGTTACTTTTAAATTAAGATGCAAATGACTTGCTTTTGAGCTGCAAAGCAGCACCCCTGAGTTTGCATATAACTCAAAACGTCGGTGGCGAGTTGAGGATCATATGTAAATCCCACTTACATGCTCCCACCCTGACAGTCCTGCCCCAAGCACATCTGGGCCTCTGCTACTCTGAATAATCTCTGCAGCTGCAGATGAAAGGACTAAGAAGTGCTCATATGGACTCTAAACCAACAGAATGGCAGCGAGAGCTCGCCTTTAAGACCTGCATGAGTTTAATCTGCATACCTGAAAACTGACTTATTCCCAAATAACCACACTAGATAAACATTTTTCTAAAAAAAGGTTACAAAAAAATGCCCCTTCCCACTATAAAAGCCACATATGACATCCAGCTGCTTCCAGAGCCTGCTGCATTGACAGTCTACATCAAAATCAGACCCACGTTACCTGCAAAATCCTTGCAATTTTACCATTTTCCTGGTGCCAGACCTGAGGCAGGTCTCTAAGCCATACCTGGCCTCACTCACTACACAAAAAGACAATTACAAGTGTTCTCTTTTGCCACAGCAACACAGGGTTCCTAAAGAAGAACTGTAAGCGTGACAAATTGGTGGCTTTTATCCAATTTAAAGTACGGTGCCCATGCCCCCGACATTGCCTACAGACCGCACAAACATTGGTGTTGATGCATTTTATGTCGGAAAAGGCTTGGGTTAATTTTTGCAGGTTGAATATTCATTATGACTTCCGCTTCCAAATGCAAACTCCAATTTTGGCTTAACAACCATTCTCGTGTAATCAGAAATGTGGTATACATAACAATGGAAAAAGACAGAAATCTGTGTCTTTTTGTACTTCAAAAAAATTAATTTTTCATTATGAATATTCAATTTTATCACAATAACAATATCATAGTAATTACCAAAACTTATACAAAAGCATTAACATAACAGCTAAACGAAACCAAATATTGTATACATATATGTTTATAAAACATTCATTGTGTTCATTATCGCTTTCTTTTTCTGTTCATATTTTACTACATCGTCAACATTTTGGGTGGATTCATCAGAATTATCCATGGCTTCTATATCGGCTGAAACTTAAGTATAAAGCTTCAAAGCTTGGACATGATTTCGGGAGATAAATATACATTATGCATTTCATGTGCCAGAGTGCATCACAGTAACTGACCAGGGAAAGAACGAGATACTAAACTACTCACTGCCAGAAATTGTAATTAGTGACCAAAAAGGATGGCAAGCATACTGCAAACATTCTTGTGGTCCTGTAGTATTAACAAGTATACAAATGCTGCTACCTGCATATGCCATATAAAACATACACAAAATATGTGCAAGCATTAATCTGTGGCAGGCAGCACCATAGGAGGAGGAGCACAAAGAAAGGGCACCAAAAGGGATTTTAAACACCAGCCTGCCCTATACCCATGGCCCCATAGGGGCCGTTTGTGCTGATATAGCAATATTTTCAACACTAATGTGCAGAAAACTATGTGCTGGGCAAGTATTACATTTTACAAATCATTCTTGTCAACTTATAGGTCAGACGTAATGTGCCATCAAGTATACAGAGCTGTCCAAGAATCCCTTTTCTCCATGAACCAATGTCTATGTACATTACATTTTTCAATTTTGGAGTTAACGAGTTACCAATGCTTTCTGCATCTGGTAGAAAATAAAAGTTTCAAATGAATAAGTGACATACCTCCCATAGTACAACATACAGTAATATGCCCCCTGAACTTATTTACACCTCATGTCCCACCAGATCTATGCATCTATACTGGCTGGTGGCACATTGGCATTGTTTACATTGTGAATCCTTCTGCTTTTCAATAAGGTTACAAAATGTACTTCTCCTAAAACCCCAATGCATTAACATTGTATATTTCTAACCATTATCCCAACAGATATAATTCTCAATTAAAAAAATTGCACCAGCTCATGTTGTGCACCACTAATGTTCATGGATAAGTACAAGTCCTAAGCCTTTCCATTTCTTCTGCAGCTTGTAGACCTAAAAGGTAAACAATGAAAATCTATTTGACCTTGTCATCCCATCAAGTATATCTCATGTGGACTATTCAGAAAACCATAGTAATAGGAATTTTCTGGACTTGTTTCCAAATATCCGGTCCCGGATTTGTTGAGAAATGTAACCTTATATGTATTATTCTGGAGCTGAGGGAAGTCTTGGTCGTGGTTTTGAGTCTGCATTCCCTTTGGTAGTTCCATATGGAGATGTCTCTGTTCCATTATTCCAAGAGGTTGACCTGTTGATTGAATGCCTTCCAACACCAGTGTTTAGCAAGTGTTCACTGTTTGGATCTATAAAAAAAGTAAAAAAATACATGTTTAAAATATAAAGAAGAACAGAAGTAAAAAAAAGTAGGAATGTAACAAATTAAGGTATTCTGACTCCGATCGTTGTGATAGCGAAATATATCCCTTGCTGAGACCTCTATGCCTGGCCTGTATAAGCAGATATACTCACTGCGGACAATCCTCGTCAGATAGCTGAACTCGTCAATACCGATTCATTCAAAAGAGGTGTTTATTCTTTAACATCAGGTTACAGCAGATGATAGGAACAGCAGTTGAATGGTGATAGTATTGTGCGGTCAAAAGATGATGCCTTTCCTACGTACTGTGCAGATTACATATGTGTCCTTGTTACATGTGGCTGTTCACTGTGGCCATGACACAGGAAGTACTGCACACAGGAAGAAGGAAGGGGCGTACACTAGGGGAAAATACGTCGTCACATGAGGAATAATTACAGAAAGACATGTATATTACAACAAAAGGCCACTAGATGGCAGCATAGGATAACACATGGATTTAGCTATGAGAAAATAGTTAGGCAAATCACACTATATAAATTCTAACCTATATAACAATGCTAATATTAACTGAGGCTATGCATCTCATATTCTATGCCCCTGTTGGGGCGGCACATAAGGAATAGTTATTAGTCTTGAGTGATAGCACAGTGCCACCTACAGATAATGTAATAATTCTGTGTAGATTGACACACAGGTTGGTCCCCACTGGGCCTTTACCGTTGTCTGGAACCCTGGCAGTGAGGACCCCTATCAGGCTGAGCTCAGCTTTTACGCCAAGCTATTGACACTGGCGTGAAGGAAAGTATAGTGTATTTTAAAGGAATGATTGCAGTGGTTAATATGGTCACTGTGGTCAAGCTTTGGACCTACAAGTATTTTTATATGCTTAACAAAGCAGTAAATAACCACTTGCTGACCGGGGTGTTAAACCCCCTTCCTGTCCAGGCCATTTTCAGTATTCAGCGCTGCAGTACTTTGACATTTATTCAGTCATGCAACACTGTACTGAAATTAATTTGATACCATTTTTTGGGGACAGATAGAGCTTTCTTTTGGTGATATTTAATCACCACTGGAATCTTTATTTTTTACTATATAATGAAAAAAGTACCGAAAATGTTGGGGAAAAAAAAAACAGTTTTCCGTGCATTATGTTATAAAACATTATTACAAAATGTTTTTGGTAAAATCTAAAATACAAGGTCACGTAGGATAAAGAGACACCAAACATGTCAAGCTTTAAAATTGCGTGCACCCACAAAAAAATTACAATGCCTAAAATTGGCCATAGGCGACGCTTTAAAAGCTTTTACTGCTCATCAGTTTAGTGTTATCAGTGATCCCCCAATGTGATAGCTAGAAAAAAAAATTACAGGTCCTCTATATGGGGTCCCCAATGTCACCTTAGGACCCCCAAAGAAGCTAATGAAGCAGAAATCTGCTTCATCAGCTTCTTCTCTGGCTCTCAGCCAGAGAAATGACAGCTAAAAGGCGGAAGTGAAGTGATGATTACGCCTTTAGAGAGAAGGGGGAATGCCGATCTCTCCTCCGTTCTTTGTACAGGCAGCTGCTGTGCTTTAGAGAGAGAAGGAGGAGAGATCAGCGGTGGGGGAAATGCTGATCTTTCCCTCCTTCTCTCTAGTAGCAGCAGCTGTGTCTGTGTTCTCGGTACCGAGCAACGCGCGCAGTGGGGGGCGCGCAGCTGTGCCCGGGATAACCAGCAGCGGCAACGGAGCGGGGGGACGCGGCAGCAGGAACGGGGGCAGCGCACAGTGCAGGGATATACAAAATGATCAGGGAGCGCTATAGCCAACCCCATCTGCAGTGTGATCGCCCGCACTGGGTTCCAGGGCAGTGCGATTTCACAAAATGTGCATGCAGTTTCTCTTGCTATCTCATTTAACAGTACCTGTGCATAGAGGTGGTTGTATTCTTTTTATTGCTCTTTGACATTCTATAAATTCTTAGACAGCAGCTGTGAAAACTCAGAGTATAGATCCATTTTACCTTCAGAAGTCTACCCAGATGCAAAGACATACTTTCTCTCCTGATTGGCTGAATTTTTTTTTTTTTCTAATAACTTATGAATGTAAAGTCGATTTTTATGTAGAGGTTTTACAGCTGTTATCCTGGGTTGGCTGTAAAGCCCTGAGATGAGAGAGACCACCATAAAAATCTTACAACAAATTCCATTTACAGGTACTGTTAGATAGGGTAGCGTAAGAAATAGCAAATGTTGCTTTAATAAATACCAGAATTCAGCTTTGACATACTGAGAACAGAACAGTTTTAAAATGTTTTGAGAATTATGGAGTGGGGAAAGATATCTGTGCTGTTTTCTGAAAGAAAACTAAGAAAAATAGGCAGTCTACCGCCACTTACTGACTTTGGGCTAATCCAATAGTTGCAGTACTTTCTCAGGCAATGACCTGGACGAAGTATGCAACAAGAGAAGTCGTGAGCTGTGTATTTGTTTTGGATCAATGATTTATACTGTATAAAAGTCCATATGGCAGCCAGACCGCTAGAATTAGTTGTCAGCAATATCAACAATGGCAACCAGTGCATTTCTCTCGGTAAAGGCTTCCTGTAATACACTCAAATATGCAAATTTTTGGCTGAAATTTGTCACCTGCAAAGGACTATTGGTAAGCAAGCATAAATGCAAAGATTTATTATTACATAGTTAAAGAATAAACAAAATACAAATAATGAAAACATGAAAAAAAACCCACAAATGTTTTGCTTCACATGCCCCGATTTTAATTGTAGTAATACAATTTGTCCTAATTTGTGAAAATTCATTAAAATCAAGCTCCAGACATTTTTTTATTAGTTTTGTATAGATTGGGTTAAACATTTTGTTAGGTTTTCATGTCTAACTGTGACCCTATTAGGAAGATTTTCCCTCACTTCCTGTCTCTGTTATACCAGGACAAAAATTGAGGGGAGCAGTTGCCATCAGGGTAGAAAATCAGGACAGAAAAGCACAGACAGCAATATAAACAATGTCAAGGATTCTAACCCTTCCTCATTCTAAAATGTTCTGCTGGGAATCCAACAAGAGGCTGATGCTCTAAGAACAAAAACCACACTTAGGAGAAATATTTTTTTTTTTGCCATCAAGCTGTTCTCGTATAAGAAAAAATAATGTGCTCACCTGAAGACTTCTTCTGGCAATTTACTTTGCAATTAGTTTCTTCCTGAAGTCTTTTCTCAAACTTTCGCACATCTTCCAGAGACATGCCTATGATAAAAATACGATTTTAAATTTGTTAGGATCAAAACTGTGTATTATCACTTAATGAAAATGTCTTCATTCAAGCCAAAATTGTGAACTCCACCCCCCCCGTGGTCAGCCCATATCCCCACTTTAGACCCTCCCCCCGGAATATCCATTTTCGAAATTCCAGCAGAGCAGAACAGCTTTAAGGTCACCAGGGGTTGCAGCTTTTCTTTTCATCGGGCAACCAGAGAAAACAATTGATTTTCAAAGGATTTTTGCAACCACCAACAATTAAAACTGTTGGCTATACCAAACAAAGCAGATCAGCTCTCCTAAAGGTGGGAGCCTTGGAGTGGATTGGTATTACTATTGGTAATATTGGTAGAACAGCTGATCACTTGGGGTTTCAAACATGGATACCTCGGCCTATAAGCAGCAGTGGACAAGTAGGTCGCTTTTTCACATTCATTCTTCAAACCTCCTTAGACCACAGGTTTCCAAACTTCCCATCTTGTCATAGTCATAACAAGAGAAGGCGAAAACCACCATAATGTGCTTTATAACACTGCCGAGTAACTAATGGAGTTTAGTTAGTAATTTCAATAAGTATAATCAAATTTGGTAAACTTAACATTTCTGATTTAGGCCATTGCCGCAATTGTGATCTTGTTACTGGGAGACACCTTTGCCACTTACAGGATTGCTATGCAGGACATAGCGGGGCAGAGAAATACTCACGCATTTGCACAGGTTACTCTCTGTGGATGGATCATCAACAAAGCAACCTGTGGAAACGTGAGCATTTTCACAGCACTCATTAGCCATCCTGTGCTGGCGATTTGAAGTCAGTGATCAGGTCACAAGAACAATATCAACCTTAACATTGGATGATATGGGTAACAGCACACCACTAGGTTATTAAATGATCCCATTTGAATGAAAAAATAAATAAATCACTGAATACTGTCCATTAAGTGTAGTAGTTATGCAATGTAATCATTTTAATAACCCGGGCAACCTTGGTTTAATCCGTAGGCAATGTGTGCACTGCAGCAAATGTGCAGACAAATATACAATCTGTACTCTATGCATCTGTTGAGAGGCCATCACACGCTAAGTTAAAGGTGTCGGAAAACTGACACTACAATGCCTTAAAGTACAGCATATTGATATTCTCTTTCAAAACAGCTTATAATGATTACTGATGTTGACTTGTGAGTGAATATTTAAAATAAGAACATACTTTACCAGATCAAAAGCTGTAAAAATTGCTTGCCGAAAAGGAAGCTATTAACGATTCAAGTCATTTTATTTTTAAGTTTATTTTTTGAACTAATGTCTTATTCCTGTTTTTTTTCTAACTACCGTATATATATATATGTACAGTCTTTTCTTTAACATGTATCAAATGTTTATTTGTAAAGTGGCCCCTAAAGCACAAAGGGTTATGGGTTAAAGAGACAGCACAGCAAAAGTAGTTTTAATTTTATCTGGGCTGCATAGTAAGAAATTAGCACTGATATGACCCAATAAGCTGTGTGTGTAAATTTCAGCTTGAGCTACTGATTTTAGTAAACAGGCATTTTACAACACCATGGTAAAACAGAAACTAGAAAGAAAGTGGGGTAGCAGGTATGATTGGGCCTGGTGTGTTCATGGGTCAGGGACAACTGCACTCTACATACTGTGCAGCAGGTGCACTGAAGGTGTATACCTTCTATATAATCAATACAAAATTGTCATTTCTACAGAACCCTTTAGAACTTTTGGAACCTGCAGTTAAAACCAGGTTAATTGCCAAGCTGTTACTTAAACCCAGGGATATGACAAGCTATATAAATATATATTATATATATAAAAATACATCTTTTTTCACCTTATTTCTAAATAATCTGAAACAGAACTCTAGGTGATGATGTTGTAAACACAGACATTTGATGTTAATATGTGCATCCTGTGAAACAAACATAAAAATGCACCCACCATGAAATGGGCCGAAGACCAAGAACCTATCTAATCACAACACATTATGGGTTTTTTTACCAAATGAATTGTGTATATATGTTTAGTTGCAAATCTGTCACTAAATATAACTGGATACAGGGCATCTCTGCTTACTTACTCCAAAAGATTATGTTACAAAGATTTGAATAATCCCCCTTAAAGCAGCAACTTCTTCCATAAAGCAAAAACTTCCACTTACCATACCATTCATCCATCCAAGCAACAGCTTGTCTGTGTCCAGCAAGCAATATGTCTTTGATGTTCTAAAAGAAACATAACATTAAGCATTATATGGCATCTTATTTAAGAATGTTATACTATATATCAATGCCTACATAATTCAATGTAACAATTGTTAAATTGAGTATAATTAGCAGCAGGCAGTCAACGTATGTTTATGTTACACATATCCAACTTTAGCAAGCCATTGTAATGATTTCATAGTGCAGTCACCCAAGTTTAAATGTACCCATAGAGTCACAGAACAGACCAGTAATGTCAATCCTGACCAATCTGAACTTGTGCCATACTGCTGAACCGTGAGGACACTAGATTAATACAGCACTCATATAATGGCACATACATATTCTCTGCTGTGGACCGTATAAACCTGCACCTTCCACCCCAGCTGTTCGCTATCCAGGTAGATGTCTATTCAAGGTCAGAGATGCATATAAACAGAGCCCTGTTATCTGTAGATTACATCTATATTGGACTGAGTTTGGAGATCATTAGCCATAGACACAGGGATATCGTGAGGTATTGTTTTCATACACGCTCCAACCTCTTTAAAACCTTTACCGGATTATCATCGTGGAAACTAAAACCAGATTGTGTTTCTGTGGGCAGCAGGATGTCTACTTTATGTGTAGTGCCACCATTGGACTGTGCAATTCACTAATCAACAGTCCAGAGAAAAAAAAAGGAGATTACTGCATTACCCATAAGTGTTAAAGATCTACCACACAAAGCACTAATACAAAACTACCTTCTGCCTAGGTTTTTTCCCTCTTACTCAGCTGTTCAAAGGCATATAAATAGCTTATTGTTAGCACAACTTCCGGTCCAAACCTACTTGATAGCTGGCACAAGTATGGGGCACTCTAACATGGTTGTTCACAAAATGGTGAAGAGTTTGGAGAAGGCCGGAGAAGTGATGTAGGATAACATAGCGGATATGGAAAAATTCTCCAATTCCGCTCACTTTCCAGTTCAGCTAAGTTGTCCTAGATTGTTCACTTCTCCTGCCTTCTCCAAACTCTTCACCCTTTTGTGAATAACCCTGTAAATTACATAAGTTGCATTTCTTAAGTTTGTATTCATTATATTAATCAAACCAATTATTTATTTTAATGTCCTATTTTTTGTTTGTTTGTTTATGGGGTACTGCTTTCCAGGGTTCCTTCCATTTCTCCCTTTCATCTGAGTATTAGGAGCAATATTTAACTGCACTGATAATTTTAACAAAGCAAAATGTGGCTTTTGGCTGTTTTTCTCATAGCAGTCATGCCCTATAATAAAACTTACCTTATGAATGAAACTTTCGACTCTTGACTGAAACCCATAGACCTCAAATTTGGCTGCTACTAATTTGTATGAGCACATTATGGGCTGTGTGGTCTCTTGCCAGTCATGCAGTAATGGTCCTCGGCCAGTCTTCACTGAACAGAACGTCCTAAGATCCTGATGAGACAAGAAGTATTTTATTCAGATGTAAAAAATAGCCTGCTATGTTTTCATTTACAAAATTACTCACCCAATGACTCAAGCCCAACTGAACCCTCTAACTTTATTGGTGAAATGTAATCAGGCTGCATATACAAAAATACATTTGCGGTTTGTTAAACTTTTTTTGATCAGCAAAGTGCTGTAGCAAGACCACTTCTCTCACACACAAGCAGTGGCCCTGCTGTCCTGCAGTCTGTCACACCCCACTGAACGTTACTCTAATCAACATTGCTCTTCTTCCCTGAGAAATTGCTGTGATTAGAGCAGTGTTCCAGGGGGGGCTTCCGTTTGTGTGTGAGGTTTTGGGTGGATGTCGGCAGGTTAAATAACTCTAAACCATCTATGGCTCTCAAGTTGGAGTCAAGCAGCAAATGTTTCCAGCTCTACTCACCCTGTAGCAATTATTAAGGATTGTGTAAAGAGGCGTTCTTGTCAAAAGCTGCTGCACTGGTCAAATGTATGCATTCAAATACAAAATACAGTCAGTCCCCGAGTTACAAACATCCGACTTACATACGACCGCTACTTACGGAGGCTATTACTGTACAGAAGGGGGTCGCAGGCTGCAGCCAAAGTGTGCCACACAGCATTTTAGTAGTTTTAATGCTACCTGCTGGTGCCGACGAGGAGTGCCCGCCTTTTTGGGTCTGGTTCGTAGTACTGTATGTACATTACAGGAAGTTGGCTCTTGTTAGACATGCAGACGAGGGGTGGCCGCCTCTTCTTCCAGGTCACTGTGTGGTTTCTACTGCTGTCTGTATCCTCATTAGAAAGATTTAATCTCACTTCCTGTCCAGGAGACAACAGGAAGTGAGAGGAAATCTACCCATAGAAAGGGAAACTCACTCCTGTAAGAGTTACCATCAGAAAAAGGTGTCTCCACTGAAGCTTTATCACCAATACTTGTTTCCACGACAACTCAAAATGTTCAAAATCCAATTGTCACAGGGACAGAAAGTGAGGGGAAATCTTCTGACCAGGAGCACACACAGTAAAACAAACATTACAGGGGGTTAATCTTTCCCTATGCTATCCAAAACTAAAAAAACTATTTTGGGCTGGAGTTACACTTAAAAAATTTACCTGTTCTAACTTGCATACAAATTCAGCTTAAGAACAAACCTACAGTCCCTATCTTGTTCATAACCCGGGAACTGCCTGTACAGCAAAAGGCTGTGTTTGAACTACTTTGCGGTGTAAACACATCTGAACAGGACCTGCTGCATCCAAAGAAAAGAAAGTATGTAAATGCAGGTAAACGCAGGCACAGAATGGTTAACCACACTGAAAATGAGAATCTGCTGACCTGCGCATTTCAAACTCGCCACACCAACTGCAGAAAAACAATCCTCATCTACATGATTCCTTACTATGTTCAGCTTTAGACAGATAGGCCATCACTCTACCCTCATGGAGACATAGAACAGCTTTGTTTTAATGCTTACTTCTGATTTTTTGTAATAACTCTCTGACAAATCATCAGAAGCTATATCGATGTAGCACATATCATCCTCTGGTGTGGGTTTTTCCCCAAATACCTGCAAAGAAATAAGATGGTTTTTAGTACAATCACATATGCTGTCATATTAATAACTCCAGCATTGTCAGAATGATGTTCACATTAGTGTTCCAGCAAAAACTTACAATTCAGTGTGGTGTAAAAGGGACTAAAGGAATGAAAATATTCTGCTTAACATCTGTGTGCTGCCACATCCAGTGTCATTTTCATTATTTCTGCTGTTTCAGTTACACTGCATATCTATATCATTGCATTTTATTGTGTTATGCTGTATTTCTAGCTACAAGTGTAAGATCAGCAGATTTGTTGCAGCCTAATCTGTGCATACTTGGCATCTTCCACTTCACCCCTGCTCTTTTCTGTACATTGGTATAGTCGTCTGCTAAACCTTCTAAGCAATGCCTTTGCACTGTCTCTTTGTACATCACCTTCGCTGAGGTAAGAGGGTCTCGGTTATCCAGTTATTGGCAAAGATATGAATGTCTTTTCACTCTAAGAATCACATCCTATGTATTAAGAAGGCAAATAAACTACACTGGATTCTACTCTGAGTCTTCTTATCGCATTGGACACCATCGGTGAATAGCGCCAAGTCAGTACTGCTCGTACAGATAAAGTCTCAGGAAAGTATGTGCAAATACATAAAGTGGTAGTTGTAACAGAATAATCTGGATGTCCAAAACCTAAAAAAACAATATTACCCACAAAAAAAAAAAAAAAATCACTGCAAATCATGACCTTGCCACGTCACATAAAACAATCATCTGGTGGCACTGCAGGAAGAATCTGGACATATTACATGTCTGAATGTATGCAATGTCAAGAACCTCTCTGTATTACTATACGAAGTTTCAACCATTCGTGGCAATCAACTATTCTGACTGTATGTGTTGCATTAACACACAATCGGTAACGCAACATGTTATTGTGCATTAATAACACTGTGTAAAAGTTGTAATCTAATTCAAGCAGAACCTAAGCAATACAATGTCAATCTGATGTCTCCACTTTCTTAAATAGTAACAACTGTTTTCTTTTGGAGACTTTGCATCACTAACCTACAACAAGTATAAAAATAAGGAATTTGGCCTTTTATCTGCCTATTCTTTTGAAGCCATGCACCTAATATCTTTCATAAGGAGGCACGCAATGGTAGCCCACACTATAGTTCTTTCTTGATGGGGTGGGAATCACTTGAAAATGGTAAACCCGCCAAGAACTAATTGCTTAGTTCTAGGTAAATGCCAAAGGATGACTGAATGAGACTCTGGCTCTGCACCCCCTTCTCAAGTGAGGACATGACAAGTTAGCTCAGGTGTATGTCACTGCCTCTTGCAGAATTAGCCACAGGAATACGCAGAATGCATGTTGCATGACACCTATGCGAGACATAAAGCCAAGATCGATATTACTGCAAGGAAGTGGTGAAAGGTGTGATAAAGAAGGGATAACTCTTCAATAGTACCCCATGGTGTCCACTTACAATCCAACAAATCAGTTCATGGTGTGACATCATAACAAGGTATTAACTGGAGACTTTAGTACGGCACAAACTGCACCTATTCTCTGTATAATCTAAAATAGATTGTATACCATTCATCAACACTTCCTCTTATCCATTGCATTCATTTTATTCTTTGTTCATCCAATGCACGAACAAAGCATAAAAAGTTGTTTACTTACATAATTTGACCAATTTAGTGAAATTTTTTGCATCTGACCAAGGGTGGGATAGTTTATCGACAAGCTGACTATCTCTACATATTTGCTTTTGACCACACTCAAATGCTTTGCTAGCAAGCAAGCTCATGCAAATTATTTGTCTGTGTACAAGCAACGTGTGTGCCATGGATGCAAACAACTTTATTTGACTATTTGTTTTTTCTGATTTGGAATGCAAATATAAGCGGGTAAAGCACTACTAGTATTTGCAATTCTGATGTACAAGAACACCAAAAACCAGAGACATTCAAATTACTGAGATTTGTGTGGATCAGTGTGTGGAGACAAAGATTGTGTTTACTGATGGAGTTATGCTATGACATGACATATCAGATCCTTAAACTGTTGGCCCCACTTATGCAGGCCTTTTATTTTATTTGTAAATAGGGTACAGAGTACAAAAGCCAAAAACCTACAGAGCACTATGTGATATGTAATATATAAACACATCAGAATATATATAATTAAAACACTGTATATAAATACATTTAATACATTGAAACAAAGCCCAGTGCAGCACAATGTTTATCATAACAAAAGGCCATAAAACACCACATAACTTAGAGCTTTCAGTACATTTTTAACAAACACATAGCCCTCTAAACCCTTATAGGACACTTGCTTTGCCCATACAGTCTCTTTGCAAAAGGGTGCCCCTGACCCACTGTTACTTTGCCAGCACTTAACCAATGCTCCTTCCACTGCCAGTAAAAATACATATAAGAGGAAGCATGTGACCTTATCCCACCTGACAGTGTTAGATCTAGCAGCTAATTGTTAGCCCTAATCTCGGGCACACAATTGAGGTTGTGACATCACCATTTCCCTAACATCATACACCAGCTAACAGCAAAGATTTTAATACCAGAAGCAGCAAAGATTAGTTCTAGGTAAATGCCAAAGGATGACTGAATGAGACTCTGGCTCTGCACCCCCTTCTCAAGTGAGGACATGACAAGTTAGCTCAGGTGTATGTCACTGCCTCTTGCAGAATTAGCCACAGGAATACGCAGAATGCATGTTGCATGACACCTATGCGAGGAGGAGCAATGGGGAATGACTGGCACGGTATAGTTACATACAGGTGAAACTCGAATAATTAGAATATCGTGCAAAAGTAATTGCAGTAAGTGCTGCAAAAGGGGCCCAAACCAAGTACTGAGTACATATGCATGCTTGTACTTTTCAGAGGTCCGATATTGTTCTATGTACAATCCTTGTTTTATTGATTGCATGTAATAATCTACTTTTTTGAGGTTGTGGATTTGGAGTTCTTGGGGTTTTCATGAGCTGTAAGCCATAATCATCACAATTATGACAAATCACGGCTTGAACTATCTTGCTTTGCATGTAATATGGTTTGGATAAACTATATCAGCAAATCATAAAATGTTTCGCTGTTATAAAACAACAATGTATACATTCAAGATAGAGGATTTAGACTCCATATTAGACTAATATTCCTATTAGTCTGCAAGGCTGCCTATCAACGGAAGGAGGAATGTGGCTTGACTATAACAAGTAAAGATTTGCACATAAAGTTTGGATATGTAATGTTCACTTGAAATTGACCCATGTCTAGACTATGGACAATAAAGAATATACATATTCCTAAGAGTTAGTAAATTAGCTTTAACACAAGCTATCACTAACTCTCAACTGCTTGTACTGTGTTGTGATCTCAAAAGTTCTAAAGTCAATTTTAGTATGTTTCTACCAACTTACAAGCACCTGGTATTTGTTAAAGTCACAAAAGACTCAGGAGTTAAATCTTTAAAATGCATACAAGTACCTTAACTATTGACAAAAATGTATCTTATTTGTGTATCTCTCGGCTGTAGATACTCAAATCATCTCTGAATTGGTGCCGACACTGTCCTTCCTTCTGGAGGGTGGCTACATTTGTTCGCCATGGGCCCTGTGTGTGTTGTAAAGTAGACACCTCTCCAAGCTCACTCCTGTGATGGACTAGTTTACTAATTTGTATTGAGATTGTAGTCCATCACAGGAGTAAGCTTGGAGCAGTGGCTACTTTACAACACACACAGGGCTCATGGGGAACAAAGGTAGCCATCCTACAGTAGGAAGGACAGAGTCAGCACCAATTCAGAGATGATTTGATGATCTACAGCTGAGTGATACACAAATAAGATACATTTGTGTTAATAGTTAAAAGGTACCTGAATGCATTTTTAAAATGTGAAATGCAGTTTAGTGTCACTTTAACAGAAGTTTAGCAGGCTACTCTCTACAGAAAACAGCTGAGATTTCTGTCCCCCTGTTGTGAAATAGAAGGTGGATTCTCCAAAATAGCTACACAGGTAAATGAGAGCTTGCAGTAAGTGCTTTTACTACTTGTTTAGAATATGCAAATACTTTTTCTTCAGGGTTTGGGAAAGAGCTCCCCTTAAGGAAATCTCTTATGATCTTTTTCATTCATTGTCTGAATTAACCAGGCATGCAATATGTTTATTGTAATCTGATTCTGGACCCTTAGTTTTAGTAGACGTTATAGTATATAAAGGAGTTGCTTACCCGGTCATTGGAGCCATTATTATTTTCAAACTTTGTTTCTATTCTTATTTGAAATTTTGGCAGAAAAGAACACTGAAAAAAAACAAACAAATTCCATTGGAAGAAATGTATAGAAAAGTTATAACTTATGTATACAAAATATTTAAATTGCAAGCATAGGATCCATTGTTTGAACACCTGTTAATCAGTATGCTCTGAAATATGCAAGAACTGAAAACCTGAATATGGTCAGGTTCATACATGATCAGTAAGTATTTCCTCATTTTGAGGAACAGCTGTTCAGTCTAGGTACATATGCTAAAGAAAATGGGGCAAAGCAAAAGGTTGATTAGTGAAGATGCACTAAGTATATACGCACATATATACATACACAAACACACACACATAGTAGTGCTCAAAAGTTTGCATACCCTTGGAGAATTGGTAGTATATGTGCCATTTTCAAGGAAAACATGAGTGAGCAGGCAAAACACATTTCTTTTATTTCTTATGGGATTTATATTCAACTGTAGGTCATAACAGAATGGCACAATCATAAAACAAAACATGGCAACAAATAAAAAAATGAAAGGACCCCTGTTCAAAAGTCTGCATACCCTTAGTTCTTAATACGGTGTATTGTCCCATTTAGCATCAATGACAGCGTGCAGTCTTTTGTAAAGGTGGTCCATGAGGCCCCGAATTCTTGCAGGTGGTATAGCTGCCCATTCGTCTTGGCGAAATGCCTCTAAGTCATGCAAAGACTTTGGTCGTCTTGCATGAACCGTACATTTGAGATCTCCCCAGAGTGGCTCAAAGATCTTATGGTCAGGAGACTGTGATGGCCACTCCAGAACCTTCAGCTTGACTTGGCCTTGTGCTTAGGGTCATTGTCATGCTGGAAAGTACAACAGCTTCCCATGAGCAGCTTTCATGCAGAAGAATGCAAATTGTCTCCCAATATTTTCTGATAACATGCTGCATTCATCTTGCCATCAATTTTCACAAGATTCCCTATGCCTTTAGAGTTCACACCCCCAAAACATCAGTAAGCCACCACCATGCTTCACAGTGTGGAAGGTATTCTTGTCGCTATAGGCCTTGTTGACCCCTCTCCAAACATAGCGTTTATGGTTGTGACCATCAAGCTCTATTTCGGTCTCCTCACTCCAAATTACAGTATGCCAGAAGCTGTGAGGCGCGTCAAAGTGTTCCAGGCATATTGTAACCATGCTTTTTTGTGGCATTTGTGCAGTAAAAGGCTTCTTTCTGGCAGCTCAACCATGCAGCTCATTTTTGTTCAAGTAACGCCATATTGTGCTCCTTGAAACAACAACACTGTATTTTTCCAGTGCAGCCTGTATTTCTCTTGGGGGTTACCTGAGGGTTTTTTTTGTATCCTGAACAATTCTTCTGGCAGTTGTGGCTGCAATCTTTCTTGGTCTGACTTCGGCTTGGTATCAAGAGATCCCTGAATTTTACACTTCTTAATAAGTGATTGAACAGTACTGACTGACATTTTCAAGGCTTTGGATATCTTTTTATATCCTTTTGCATCTTTATAAAGCTCCATTACCTTGTTACGCAGGTCTTTTGACAGTTCTTTTCCGCTCCCCATGGCTCAGTATCTAGCCTGCTCAGTGCATCCACGTGAGAGCTAACAAACTCATTCACTATTTATACACAGACACTAATTGCAATTTAAAAAGCCACGGATTAACCTTTAATTGCCAATTTAACCTGTGTGTCACCTTGTGTGTCTGTAACAAGGCCAAACATCCCAGGGTGTGTAAACTGTCATAGGTCGGCTCAATAGATCGGGAAGTGAACAAACACATACCGTCGCTCGCTCACTTCTCGATCCTGTCCCTGCAGAGAGCCGCGACTGTCACTCATGGCTCCCTGCAGGGATTCCCCCTCTCCCGTCTGATCCTCCAGCGCTGAATGGTGGGACGGACAGGGGAGGGGGCGGGTACAGTGGCTCTGCCTCTAAATAGGCAGAGCCAGCTGTCACTCATGCAGCTGGGTGGATCCAGACAGTAATGCCAGGATCCATCCCGGCTGCGGCGTCTCAGTATACCGTGAGCTGTAGCTCGCGGTATGCTGAGCTTTGGGTGACGGGAGGACGCTAGTTTGTGTCCTCCCATTACCCTTAGGAGAACTATGGGGAAAAGCCCTGACCCCATAGTTCTTTAATGGTGAAGGATTTAGATTTGGTGGAGGTCAGTATGCAATGGATGTCTGGTTTGTGCCAGCTTAAAGGAACAGTGAATTTAAAATATTTATGACACAGGTACCCTCTGGAGACTACAGTACCTTTCAAAGACTCTTTGCCACCTATGCCCCCTTAGAAGAAGAGCCAACTCCTTCTTAAAATAATTGGGAGAATAATTTATATTTGAAAACTTTTCTTTAATATCCTCTGATTTTGTAAATAATGAAAATGACTGAGGATGTAGCCTTATAGCAAGGCTAACTCTGGCAACATGTGCTTCATACTTCAATTTATGCTTTTATTCAGCAACTACTAAAAAGGGTTTTGTGGCAGTATCCATGATTAATAAACAATTCTCAAAGCAAAGTTTGATGGACAAATCAAATCATTTTCTATAATGCAGTCCACTAAGTTATTAGTTAATATCTGGCCTTATGCCCCCAGCCCCTCCCCAACCCCAAGGGTGCCAAAAAAAAAAAAAAAAAGAAGAAGAGCTACTCTGCGGGGCATCCCAGAGAGACAAACAGAGCTCCTTTCTAAAAAGTCAGCCATAAACAAGCCTACAACCTTCCAAAGCTTCAAAGAGAGATGCCCTGTCAGAGCCAACTGGTGAGGGTCAGGTTTACATATTTTGGGCACATTTGGGAACAGCACATCCAGGACCAATGGCTGCTCTCTGTCATCAACAAACATTATGTTCTGGAATTCTATTAAATGTGTTCTTCAGACCATTTTGTTCCCACAAATACATACTCCTTCCTGTGTGGTCAAGAGTCGTTTAACTTATTTAATAAATCCATGAAAGTAAAAAGCCATAAATGCCAAATTCACAAAGCTTTAACAAGATAAGTAACTTTATTTTAGTCATGTGACATTGAATTTCAAGTCTTATTAGACTAAGCGGATAACTATATATTTTTTTCCAAAATAACCATTATCCTGGTGTGTTAAGCTTTGAGAATTGAGCTTATGATATTTGTTAATCAACTAAAGAGACATCAGGGTGTCTACTCATCAATGCGTCTAGCAAGACATTCTGTTTAATTCTTTTTGTGAAAAAGCTAGTTCGGATTATCTCTGGCTAATGTTTACCTCAATCTACCAATCTTCAACCAGCACAAATTTTTTTTAGGATGGTTCCTTACTACTGATTCAACTGTCATTTGGCCTGGTGCCAGTTCCTAACCTCTTCTCAATATTTTGAGCAAAACCCAGACAGACTTTGATGGAAGTATGTACTGAACCATGCAATAGAACACTGAACTCATAAAAGTCTTTTTAGTTTTTATGGTATGTAAGAGGTACTCTGGGAATCACTTGGACAGAGTCTGACCCAAGGAAAAGCCATGAAAGGAAAATTACATTTAGATTTTTTTTTTGGTTGTATGCAGCCAGACACTTTGCTAGGATGTAGCAAAACAAAATAATTTCCTTTTCTTGTTTTGCAGTGCACTGCTAAATTATAAAATTGAGGCATAACTGTTCTTCCAAATGGCAGTTAACCAATTCTACACATTTGGATCACTATCTCAAATTGATAATCTTATAACCACATTTGCCAATACATGCAGACATCATACAACATATCCTTTTGTCCCCTACATGATCCGGAATACTTGGCATGTGCCTGAAATAATTTGTCATGTGCTTGAATGTATGGTTATAAGCATGCATTGCTAAATCTATTAAAAGTCCTGGTTAGTCAACATCTGGGTTGAACAACTAGATCTTCAATAGCTGCATCTTTATCCATGAAGGGACATTTTTGGTAGTAAATCCTATTATACATAAACCTTAAAATATGCCGTCTTTTTGCTTTCTGATGCCAAAACTGGTAAACAGTTCTAATCGATGCCCTATGGTGTATGGAACAGGTAGTTCAGGTTTGCCCTAGGGCGTGTAATTGTTCATAGAGAATTTCCAACTTTTCTGAATACCCCTGGTGATCCCAAGAGAAATAAAATAAGTTTATCCTGATTGAACCAAAAACAAACTGCATGAAGAGACCATCGTATGTCTGTGGCATCCTCAACCAATCTAGGTTACCTGTCTTGCAAAGGAATACAACTGATTTAACAGGTCAGGAAACCATGTCTTAATGCTGTCGTTACTTGGCAAATAAGCCGACGCTAGAGTGGTCATGCCTCCCTTGTTCTGCTCCTGCCCTCTACATATCATGATTGGCTAAGCCAAGGTCTGCTCTGGACAGCTATCTGTTCTCTATTATTTTCTAAGGACAGGATGTTTGGGACTGCATGCCCTCTTATGTGTATGGGTGGCCTAAACATTCATACCAAATCAGATTCGTTTGCAAATAATGCACTGCAAGTAAATACAAAAAAGTTAACCTGTAAAAGGGTGCAAAGGAATCTTGGAATTCAATCACATTCAACAACAAAGAGCTGAATGCTTGTAAACCTCAATTCAAGTCAAAACAAAGAAATTGCTTCACTTCCAATACCTCTGTGTGACATCAAAGGGTTTTTTACCTGGTGGCAATTATACGTTTTACAATGCATAGTTTTTACAAGTCTTTGTTACAGTGTAAATGTACTTTATAGAGAGACTTTGTTCAGTAAATATACTTCTAAAACTCTGAAACTCTGACCCACAACACTACTTGTTACATAGGCCTAAACCAGGTTACACTGCAATTTCATATATTTCAGATAAATCTTTTTTCCATGGCGAAAGAAGAACATCTGCCCAATCAAGTTATTTACAGACATCTTAGAGAATGTTGGTACGTCCCACCACGACCCTGGCCAATGGCTAAATTTTCCCTTGTCAAACTTACACAGACACAAATATACCGTAGGGCAAAAATTATTTAGTCAGCCACCAATTGTGCAAGTTCTCCCACTTAAAAAGATGAGAA